TTCCTCGCATTCACCGAGCTGAAGACTCGTCTCACCTCATGTGTCTGTATGTACAGCAGGGGGTCTGTAGCCTCCAGTGGTGTCCTCCCCAGTTGTTTCAAAGCGTGCGAAGAAGTGGTTCAGCTCCTCCACCAGGGTGTTGTCACTGGTAGCAGTTGGTTGCTGATTCCCCCTATAGTTGGTAATATGCTGGATGCCTTGCCACATACGCACTGGGTCTCTGTTGTAAAAATGTTCCTCAATCCTTGTCTTATAGGCAGCTTTAGCCCTCTTGATGCCCTTTTTAAGGTTGTGTCTGGCCGTGCTGTACTGTTCTCGGTCTCCTGATCTAAATGCTGCATTACGTTCTTCAAAATATCAAAATTCTATATCATTGTTATCAGTATTTATTTTTCCTACAGTAAATGTCTTATTAGAGGGTGATAGAGCTGGAAGCTGATGAAAACCATTCATATTTTTGGATGAGGCAGGCTTTAACTGGGCCATGACATGGAGGAGAGGTTGAGAGCCCAGCGGTTGAGAGGGGCCCAGAACGATGTTCGCTGGGGGGCCTGACCACCCCCCACTGAATGTGATTTTGAGGGGACCCCATAGCAAAACCAGTGCAATGGGCCCAGAATTCCTAGCAACAGCACTGAGTGCAATCATGTTTTCAGGCCCATCTACAGTGTATCAGCTTGTATTTACCCCTATACTCCCTTTTCCTTACTGTAACCAGACTGAAGAATTTTTCTCCACATGGAGGTGGAAGGTTCACAATAGGCCCCCTTACAAACAAGTCACTCTTCTCCAGGCTATAGATGATGCATGCAATGACATCACAGGAGGAGACCAATGTCAGGCCTGGATTTGTCATGCCAGAAGATTTTTTCCAAGCTGTTTAGCGAATGAAAACATCCATTATGATGTGGATGAGAACCTGTGGCCAAATCCACAAGACAGGGTTGATAAAAACATAGAAGTGCAGTGAGGAGCACTCCAGGTGACATTTTACTGTAGTTTTTTCTCATCTAAAGTTTTTCAAAAACCTGTTGCGAGTTCATTATTTCATCAATAATTTTCAGATTTTGTTCAATGATTCCAGTTTCCTCGCATTCACCGAGCT